ATATGTATACATACAAGTTATCTTTAAATATAGAAGCTAAGACTTATGTAGAAAGGTTTATTGTACAAATTTACAAGCAAATAAAAAGTCTAAATAACAAACTCAGAAGGAAGAGTGGCGTAAAGACTCTTGATGGACTCAGAACAAATTAGAATATTTCCTGAAGGATATATATTGTAGCAATAGTAAAAATTTAGAAGACGACACCTTTGTGCTAAACCATCCGATTTCTCCGATTCTTTAGGAGAGCTCATCACTTTTTTTAATGAATATATACAAAATCAATAAAATTGTTAGTATAATTATACGTTTTGAGTTAACTTGTAATCTTTTTTCTGCCTTCTCTTCGGTGATGTCATATAGGTAAATTCAAAAGCTTTCGAAGGAGACTACTTTAGCCAAGTTTCATTGAAATCAGTACATTGATTTAGAAGGATGGTAATGTCGAATTGGAAGTATCATCCTCGGGTGATAGATACTAAATAACATAGATACTAAATCTCAAAACAATTGGTCCAGTTGTCTCAGCAGACATCCAATATTTTTTAAATTAATTTTTCGGATTCTACATTAAAGATAAAGTTGTCCATACACAAGATTCAGTACCAAGGGGTCAAATAGTACACATTTTTGTATGAAGCAAACAGAACAGTTGTCCCTATTATCGGGAAAGGGTCCCTCTGGACGGTAGAAGAGCCAGCTGCAAGACTCCTACATCCTGGAGGACCCGATTTGTATCCTTCTTGGATGACATATCCTGCTGGCAGGACCTCGGTGTGGCCTGCACGTGATTAGCCGCTGGTCAGTCTGCCTCGGTGGCGCCACATCACGTGTGTCCTCTCGTATTCTTGTTCTCAGCTGTCCTGTTTCTAATGTTTAACTTATTAGTAAGTTTTCTCCCGTTTGAAAAATTTAAAAGGTCTCGTATTTCCGAAATATTTAAGTATACAGGTTGTACAAGTTCTTAATGGACAAACTTTTGGATTTGAGACAAAATTTACAACAAAAAAGTTCATTTCATACATGGCCCGATTCCGAACGAAAAAGGAGGTAAGAATAATTCTGAGTGGTCACATTTTTATTGAATAAGAAGGAACTCCTCAAAAACTGTTTAAGATGATTAAAATCTAAGTCCACCATCTTGTAGTAGACAATTTGTTCGTTCAAAAACAATAATTGAATTTACTAAGATCAATGATAAAATGACTGTCAATTGGTCTAATACGGCAGCTGTACAGAGATATGCTGCTCGTGTATGGCTACTGCAACTGCAACAATACAGCGATCGTATTAGATAGATCTTCTGAAAGCCCCATTTATCATTGACCTTAGTAAATTTTAACTTAGTAAATCAACCACTTCGTATAGAATCCTAGGATATCAAGAAGCCCTTCAACCGTCAAATCTCTAGAATTTGTTCCGATTAATGAAACAATATAATTATTACAGGCATATTTAAACAATACAATCTGTATGCGCGTACTTACAATGCAAAATCAAAACTAATAGCTCTACGGAATCTAGGGCCCAAAAATCGATCTCGTCGCAGGCGAATGTTTGATTGTAAATTACGAAATTTCAAGTTATTCTGAATTTAAAAAAACCTTGTCTGCCGATCCAGATTCGTTGATTTAAAAAATGGCGGCTGATTTAAAGAATATTAGGTAAATTTGAGGATCGAAACTGAAAATCCTTTGCGAAAAATATGAGATTTCTTTTTTTTTTTTTTTTTTAGCTTGTATATATGCGTTTAGACATTTAAAAAACAAAATTGCTAACGTGGCCCACTACGGGAAAACTTTTTACAGCCAAAAAATTAAAAAAAAAGTTTTGTTTTTTTCATCTTTAACTCCTAAATGAGGTATCAAAGCGAAAAATGTACTATATAGTAAATTGAAAAAATTGTGCGTCGAACGAGTATTTTATAATTTGGTTACGCGTTAAGGTATAAACCCACAGTCAACCAACGCTGATTTTTATCAAATTTGTCAAAAACTGAGACAAATTACTATAAAAGGCCACTTAGAATTGATTTCCTTAAGAGGAAAAGCATGTAGAGTCAAATTTGTAGAGCATCAAATTTTGCATCCAGTGTTGCATCAACTAATTTAATGGGGTCAGTTACTCCAAACTAGTGTTGCCCAAAATGGGTCTTGGTCTTGCCATTGCCTATCTGTTGCATGACCAAGACCAAGACAAGTGAAAAAAATAGATTTTTCGAATAACAACAGAAACAAAATAGTTACTTGACAATTTTAGGTACTATATGTAAATATTTGATTTAACCAATATACTTTTGCATTTAACTCTTCTAATTTTTCATTCAGTCTTAGTTAGATTTTTCTTATCTAAAAAAATACATTAATATCTCTCTATTAATAAGTTAATAGGTAACTGCAAGACTTGCGAGAGTCCAAGACCTAGACCAAGACTGAGTTTGCAAAACCAAGACTCTTCTCTGTCTGGCACTTGGACAACACTAATGCAACCAAATTGGATGATGAAGGTGTACGCGATTTTCAATATTTCAACAGTATGGGAGTCTACACCTTTTAGAGATCGCATATCGTGATGTAGATATCCGTTAGCCATCATTTAGATTTCCTTGCTGGGATACCTTTTCCCGAAAGTAAATTTCTTCTCGAGGACCTCGTTAATCGGGAATCGGGTAGTAATTTTGTGGTGGGAGAAGAGGAGAAGAAGCAGAAGAAGAAAGGAGAGGAAAGAAGGTTGGCCACTCGGCATTGATAATGACAACAGTTTTTGCTGCGGTCCCCAATTATCTCTTCTTCTTCTGTCTCCTCTCAGTGCTCAGGCTTAGCTCTTTGGTTGGGGCCATTACCTGCCAATCGGAGGGTAGTGGTTGTTTCTCCTTCTTCTCTAGTCAGGGGTCAGCTTCTTCATTCATGGATCTCGTATATAGTTGCTAGCACTTCGCACAGGCGGATTTACGGGGGGAGGGGAGGCTTTCGGGTTGAAGCTCCCCCAAAATGGTAAAATGTAACCATGTTTTATGGTAAAAAATATTAAAAAATTATGTCTTAAAGCATTATTGCTCGTTTAATTACATTTAGTTGGACTTCAAGAATCACTTAAACACCATTTCATATAGATATTTAATATCTTTCTGTTTTTCCAAGGTAATTAACGTTATATAAATATATATATATATATATATATATATATATATATATATATATATATAAATGTAATTACATGAACAATAATACTTTGAGAGATATTTTTATGAAAAAAAAAGCTTTCCGGCTGAAGCCCCCCCAAAAATTAAATCCTGGATCCGCTAGTGGTGGTGTCACAGTAGTAGTTGGAACAGTGACAGATTTTTTCTAGATTGTCACATTTCTAGTGGCTAATTTACTATCAAGAATTGGATATTTGCCTTTTTATCGGACTCAATGGGGTATTTTCGGGAGTCTAGGAGTTGCATACTCTGATTTATCTTGACACCCGCCACTATTTTGGAATAGCTGAAAAAACGTGTGCTAAAATGTTGAGGATTAAGATTTTACCCCCAAAAATATTAGGAAATAATTGGATGGTACTAAAAAGTATAATAAATTATCATGTAATATATAGGCGGCATTGGTACTTCTCTCTACATTATTTTATTATTATTCAACACTAGCTAAATTTAATTATTAGTTAGTTTGCAGAGCGGGTAACTCCTTTTCTCCTGTCCCAGGATTTGAATCCAGAAGTGGTAGATAATTATTTATTCAGTTGCATTATCCTTGGATCAACCCTGGGCTCAGCAGTCCCTTCTAGGGCACACTCAGTCTCTTTGAAGTGGAATAAACTTAGCAGTTGAGCGATATCTTTCTTATAAAGTATTTAATCCAAGAAGGGTTCAGGGGTTGTAACGGTAAACATTATTAGCTAAGCTTTATTATTAGTTTACTTATAATAATTTAATTATCAAAGACTAGATTTTAATTATTATTCTTTCAAATGAGATGTTAGGACTATCACAACTCAAATGATATTTTATTTATAGTATTCAGCATTTCTGAACTTCAATAAGGTATAAATGTTTTAATGTACTAATTTAAATGCCAAAGTCAATAAAGTTTTATTTTGTAATCTTGCTTTGGTATTATGAGTCTTTCGTTGTTAAGTAATTAAATTAAATATATAATTAAATGATTTTTAATTAGTAACTAAATGCTACTTCTCTTATATATACTACATTCGGTATTTAGTTCAATAAATGTTATGTATTTTGGAAATTGTAGAGTGGATTAAGATTGAACTACAAACTCTTCATTGAAATCATTTAGTATAGCCATCGCTCATACATAAGAGATAATATTAAAAAAAAATTTCTAAACAATCATTATAGTATCTTATTATTATATGAGGGTGTTAACACTCAATATAGTCTTAAATCTTAACTCTCAAAGTAGTTTATCACATTTACAAAATATCTGGCTTAAGCATACAAATATATCTAGAACTGCCAAACTGTTGAAAGAAAAAGTGAAATCAAGCATAACCTCAATAGTTGGCCAATATGATGGCAGTTTTTCAATTTTTTCTAAACCTAACAGATTAAACTTGTCGGCTTGCAAGTAACCATTTTGGGATTTTAATTCATGCAATTTTATTTCAAAATTACTTTTGAGCAAATTTCATATTAATATTTGCTTGGATTTTCTCACAAAGTTGGACTTGGAATTCTTGTAGTCTTTTGTTTAATTTTAATCCTTTATTTCTAAATACTTTTCTTGGAGGAATCATTCTTTCTAATCAATTCATGATGAAACTCAAAAGTATCTAAATATCAAACACTGTATGAATTCTCAACATAGAAGTGATTAAATATTTGCAGTTGATATTTTGGAATTTCCTTCCACAACTCCTATACGTTATCAAAATTAGATCAAACCTTCTATCTTCATTTTCATAATATGAATATATGTCAGTAATCATACATAAATATTAAAAATAAGAGGGTATATATATAAAATAAAAATCAATCATAAATCCAAAATACTTTATTCTAAATAGCTTTACTCACAACTTAATCCTTATACTTTATTCCAATAATTATATCACAATTTAAATATTCCCCTACAAAGAAATAAAATATCCTAAGTTTTATGGCCTTTCATTTTAGAGTTTACTCTTCCATTGCTGCAAAATGTACATAGCACAAACAAAAATAATTTTACGGTTAACAAACTAATAATTATTTGTTTAGTATTACTCTTCTAACTAAATTTATCAACTTATTCCAAAACTGCAGGGTTTTGATATATATACAATAAAATTATTTATGAGATCAACAATTTAAAAAAAATAAAATAAAATGGTACATCTTCTTATATACATTTTATACACACTGAACAATGATTCTATCAAAATAAAATCTTCCTTTCTTTACAGACCGACAATATGAGAGGGAAATGTAGTGTTATAGCGAGTTAAAATTAAGTAAAAGTAAAAAAAATCAGATTACTATCATATTACTATAATCAATAAAAATGAAAATGAAAAATAAGAAAAACAAATTACGTACATAAAAACAAAAAATTATGCTTTGGGATTAAAAAAAAATAATTTTACAAATAAAGAACTTAATTTGGCACAGGGAATTCACAAGAAAATATAAACTAAGATCTGTTAGAAGCAAAATAAATAAATAAAAATTATGATGAAAGTGATATTAAAAGCTAAAATTTTAGTCACGTTACAAAACTATTTTAGTTTACAGAAATTACAGAAAGCTGGCTCTACTCTTCCCGGTCATACACAACTAAAATTTATCTTATTAACAAACCAAATCTTCTCAATATACAAATATACATATTTATAAAAAACGATAATAATAAAATTAAAATATAAAGAAATTAATATTTAATCAACAGAGCAGCAATAAAGATGGTAGCTTTCTTTTTCCTTCGTTCTAATTTCAATTCACATATGCTATTTGATTTTATTGCACCTCATTTAATGATATATACAAAAATACAATATTTATATATAAATTTGTTATGATACATATATACAAAAAAAAAGTATAGAAATAAAAATTATTTATACTCATACAAATTATGGAAAAAAAGGTTACAACCAATTTTCCAAAAATACGACATTTACAGGGAACAATCTTTTAAAATAAATACACCATTAAATTTAATCCGTGTAACTGAATGGAAATATTTGATTTATTATAATAACAGATATTATTCACTCTGTTTTATATTCTGGTCTACTTGCCCTGTGGATAAAGTGGCGTACTAAGAACTTTTGTGCTAAAGGCTGGATTTACTTTCGGGAGCCACTTAAAAATAAAAAAATAAAGATATAATAAAAACAATAAAGGACGTGTCAGATTAAAATAAAATTATTTAGTTTCTACTAGAGCTTGAAAGTTCAGTTTTATTTTAAATTGTTTTTCTATTATTTTGTAAATTGAGCTTATTCTCAGCGAAGTTTCAAATTTAAGGCATTATAGAACTTTTTTTTTTTAATATTTATTTAAAAGTATTGTTAAAGAAATTAATTTAAAACACATAAAATATGCGTCATTCTTGATATGAGAATAAGCCAATGCATTTGAGATAAATTATAGCTGTAATCTGAGTCCATTATTAAATTTAAAAAAAGTGGCCCTATTAATTAAAAACATAAATAAATAAACATAAAAACTGACATTTTTTAAATAAAAAGTCAAATTAAAGAAAACGTCCCTGTTCACAGTTCACTACTACATGTATGAGCTTGACTAATCAAGCTAAATCTCAATTTAAATGGCACTACACACTAAGGTGAGCTCGCACATCTCCTCATAAGAAGATAGTAAAGAAGTCTTATTTTACCGGACAAATAATCTGGTAAGATAATATTGAAGTAATATTATTGTCATTATCGTGGACACGTTGAAGTGAGAAACTTATCACAGTAATACATGAATTAAAAAATTGAATCTTAAAATCAGATATGATTGGATAGGCTTTAATAAAGTGTTGTTATATTTGTTGATCACATCCTATGATGAAAACATGGCATAAACAAGTTGCGGCAATTGACTTATGAGAATAATGCTGTAAAACATTTTATTTTGATATCATCCACATTATCTAATTATCATCTTCAGTATACACCTCTCGTCTATTCCTACAATGCTCCATGCCTAGATCTCCAGGACTGTGCCAGCAATGGAAGGTTGTAAGGATAAACGAGAGGTGCCTATCAAAATTCAGTGTTTTTACAACATCCGATTCATTTTTTATTAGTGACATCTCGTAATGTTTCAAATAATAAAGGGATGTATGTAGAGTTTAGATAACTTTCAAATCTGATAATAATTTGAGATGCTAATACATATTATATTGTCTTGCTTATTTATAGTTTTAAAAATATAAAATGTATAATATATCTTTCATCGGTCAGTCTCTTTTACATAACAAGGAATACAGAGGGGATGAGGTCATGACGCCAGAAGGCAGTGCGCAGCATCACGCACGGCGGGCTGGCGCACGATGGCATGCCACTCGGAGTGCCGCGGCGCGCAGACCAGCACCAGCCTTCCCAATTTGCGCCTCGCCATGATGACCATCTCGCCCTCTCCGTGCGCCGCACCGCAGTGCCGCGCAACTCCGACCATCGTCCGCTCCACCACTTCGTTCTCCCCGCCCCATTCTAGTCCGGAGCTCCTCAGCCTCTTCGTCTCCTTCACCACGATTTCCGAGAGGTCTGTCTCTTCCTCGACCGGCTGCACGCGTTGGATGATGCCTCGTGTAACTGCAAAGGAAAAACAAATATTTAGGACAATCGAAAATTGATGTTACTGAAAGAATTCATCAATACAGCTGTTTATGAAGATTAGTATTTCGACTGGAAGAATAGTTTGTATATGTAGGATTGCCCGGAAGACAATCCAGAATTCCATGTTTTCTTTATATTAAACCTCTATGTTCTTATCAAATGAACGTCACGTTTTTACTCAATAAGAAGGAATTGCTCAAAAACCATTGTAAAGTAGACGAAATATTTTGTGGAAAACAGTGATAACATTTACGGTACTTGTCTGATAACCAGTCGAGACGAAACCTCCCTTCTTATCTAATGTTACATCACATAACCTCCTTTCTTATCTCTTGTAAGCTGTGAGTTGTTCTATTGTTTATTTTTGTTCCATTTGAGTGATTTTCTTCAAATTATGTATGTTATTACATTTTGGGAATTGTCGTTATTTAGAAGTAGAGGCTATCGAATATTTTCAAAACGCCGAGATAATTCCAAACGTAAAATTTAGTGTGAAGAAGGTGATCAAATGAACTTCAACCAGAAGACGAAATGGAGATGCTTTTGTACCATTTGTAACAAAAATGTTTCCATAAGGAAAGGAACGTGGTTAGAGGGGTCCAGGATTTCGTTTTTAAAAGACATTAAAATTAATTTATGGGCGGTCCCATAATTTAACAACGATACAGTGGGGCAAAGAGCAGCTGAAACTATCCAAGGCAACTATGATAATGTGGAACAAATTTTAATGTTTGGTGGAGTTTGCCGAGAAACACAAAAAAACATTTGTGACGGCGGGCTAATAGAGAAGAGAACCCATTCCTCGCTATTTTAAATATTAAAGTTTTTTTCTTTTTGTAGTGGGAATAATTACATTTCTTTTTGTCTATTTCAATTTCGAATCAAAATTTTTTATTATTATTACTTTTGTTTTCGTCTATTTAATATAGTTGTTGATATATGATGTACAATAAAAGTATTTTTTTATTATTACATTTGTTTTTGTTTACAATTGCAATAATATCAATATAATACAATACATATGAATACGAACATAGTAATTATCAGTGCCTTATCAGAACTATCAGTGTTGAGGTTATGAACATTGGTAGTTAGCAATCGGTCCCGACAGGCTATCAGACGAGTACCAAATTTACAATTTAGACTATTTGTTTGTTAAAAAACATTAATTGAATTTACTAAGGTTAATGATAAAAGGACTTTTAGGAGGTCTAATACGGCCGCTGTACAGAGATAATGGTGCTATCGTATATAGGTACTGTAACTGCAGCAATACAGCAGCCATATTAGATATACCTCCTCAATCTCCCTTTTATCATTAACCTTTGTGAATTTAATTATTATTTTCTCAACAAAAGTTATTCTACTTTATGATGGTATACTTAAAATTTAATTATCTTAGAGAAAGAGTTGTCATGTAAAACTAAAAGCCGCTAAGCCTTACACAACTATGTACGTGGATAATGGTGGCAATGACATAACCACTCAAAGGAATTTACCCCAAAAGCATATGCAACTTTATTAATTTAATTTTTTTCTTGTAAAGGATGTCCCTTACTCGTAATTATTTTAATTCAAAATATTGAAATATTGACAATCAATCTCTCGCTGTTATTTAATTGTATATAAATTTCTTGTTATATATTGTTTTTATTTTTCTACGCATAACTGTGATTAAATAAGTAACTAATATTATTATCAACTATAGTTTCAACTTACCTATCTCGCTGGTGCAGTAGGCGTGGATCATCTCGTCCATTGTACACGGCCTGCATTCTGCAAAGAGAACATTCAACCATTATTGTTGTCTAATAACATAGAGGAGGAACTTAAAAATAATTAATTAAATATGATAAATATATGATAAGAGAACGGTGCAAATTTGAATCAAACATTTTAATTTTTGTCAAGAGAAAAACAAACACCTAACCGAAAAAGCAGACGCGATTTTATAAAATCGATTTTAGGTCATATAGTGATTTCACAATCTCTGAAAATTTAATTTTAAAAAAAAGTACAAACAGGTATATGAAAATCTAAACAGTTTTTGTCTCTCATGAATTTCTTTATTGATTTATTAGTGACATTTCGGGATTTATTTTATCCCATCTTTAAACTATCTTATTATCTTTGTATCATCTCAATTTATCATATGACTTTTCATTTTTTTATTTAAAAGTCCCTTAATTTCAGTGTGGATCCTTCTCTATGGACTTAAATTTTCATATGCTTCATTAAAAAAAAATACTTAGGACTTATCAACGAAATCTATAATCTTTCATGTACCTAATTTTATTCCTGAACTTTTTATAGGCACATTAGTGCAATTAAATATTTTAGTTGTGTTATTGCATATTTAAAGATATTTATTCATGTGTACATATTTTATGTATTATTCCTGTATATTTTACATATTTTATTGCATATAATATGGCATACAGTAATTAGTGCATTAAAAAATCCATGCCACGGTGCTAAGGGCATTACAAATGGAGGTAGACACGAAACCAAACTGCCTCCTTCATGTCTAAAAAGGAAAACTGAAGCCAGTGAAAATTTTATATTTCAAGTCCTACATTTTTCTACCTTTGGCGCAGTGAGGTAGGAGAAAACTAATAAAAGCAACGGAGGACAGATAAAGTAGTTCACCCTCCCCCTTGTACTACTATTTCTCTTCAACCCAAAACATCATCCAGGATTCCGTTAAAGAAGCGATCAATTCCATTGAATAAAAGTCAGATCCTGGAATACGTGATTCCATCTCGGGTGTTTTGGTTAAGGTGGAGCTGATGGCATCAATTCTTCGATATATCGATATATCTTGCGGTACACCTTCCACTTCCATTTTTTTGTGGTTTGCTTCGACCTCCCTCTAGCCAATTACTTTTTTCCAACCTCTATGAGAAGATGGGAAAAGATAGCTTTCACGCTAGCGTTTAGGAAACAGCCGGATATTCTTTTATTAAAAAGTCAGAAATATCGCCTGTATTCAATAAACGTGTGAGTATTCAATTTCCCAATATCTAGCAATTGAGTACTAAGGTGAATTTTCAATTTCCATTTAACATCAGAAAAGATTAGGTTATAACAATGAAAACAATAAACTGAAATTTTCCTGGTGTATATTTGTATTGTGGAGTGGGGTAGCTGAGTGGTAGGGCACTAATCTTCCAATGCAAAGGACCCAGGTTCGAACCCCCGGCTCATGGCAGAAAATTTTATTTATCTGTTTCATTGGCCGTGGGGCGACCCTGGGATTACGAGACCCTCCTGGGGCACACCCAGTCTCTATAACGTGCGTACCCTAAATTAATTAAGGGGGAGAAAACCTGGCGGTTGAGTGTGATCTCGGTCATATCACCTCCATGCACAACCGTTGACTAAGAAACAGTACTTTCCCTAAATAGTACTGAACCCAAGACCCTTTATGGGTTGTTAGTGGTACAGTTTGCTGCAGGACAATGACCAACATCTACTCCAACATGGTTTTGTAACAACCCAATGCTGCTTATTAAGGGGATTCAGAAAGACGTCGTGCACCATCATCCTCTAGAACCAGGCGAAAAAGTTGATACCGTTTGCTACCGTCAACGAATGATTAATTTGAACCGTCCATTAATTCAAAAGCAACCAAAACGAGCTACAAGACACTGAAAAGTAATTTTGCATAACAACAAGGCCCCACCACACACAGCGAAAGCGGTCTAAGCCACCATTTCTAAACTTGGCTGGATTCACCAGACTTGGCTCCTTACCACTAGACCATTCAGCAATGTCTTAAGCACTCTCCAAGACACATTTCAACGATTATTGAGATGTCGAAATATGCGTTGACGATCTGACCACCTCACAATATTGGTTTTTCTAGGAAGCCATCCACAAGTAGTCAGAGAGGCCGCATATTTTGAATAAACTTATTTTTTACATTTTTCCCAGTTTAAAATTTTTTTCACCACACCTGGTGATTCTTAATAATAAATCTATAGAGCTTACCTTCGTTGGGGTCGTAGGCCTTTCCCTTCGGCAGGGGCTGCAGATCGTAGACGAACTCCGCCACAGGCTTGTGGGCGGACCGTTCTTCCGTGGCGGCTTCCACGTACAGCGCCGCCTGCCCGCCGCGGCTCTGGAAGCACCTCATGTGAGTCGTGGTGTTGGGGGAGTAGATCTTGGTGAGGGAGCGGGTGCCTTCTAGATATACCGAGGCCGCCAGGCGAGGGCTGGGTCGGAGGCAGGCCCGGAACTCTCTGTTGTTGAGCCTGAGGAGGATCCTGAGGGCGCCTTCCGGGTAAGACCAGGTCACCCTGCCTTCCCCGCAGCGCAGGTAGACCGGCCGCACCCCTCGCACCTCGCCGCCGCTCAGCCCGCTGTAACAATAGCAACAAGAGGTTAGCATGTAAGAGTAATGGTCACCATATATAATATATAATCAGGTTTACAATAAGCTCCCACTTTTCAAGAAAAGATGGTAGCAGAGAGAAACATGGAAAATATCTTATGAAGTAGTAAATGCAAGGAGGATCGCCAAGAGTACATTTGTATAATATATGGAAGAACAAGAAGAAAAAATAGAAAGAAGAAGGTCAGCCTAAATAAAAAGATATTTGATCTAATAGAAGGATCTTAGATATGGATTGAGAGATAATTGGTTCATTGACAGCGCCTGCTAACTTTGAGCAGGCGTAATCCATGGATCTAGACCGATTTGTCATTGTCCTTGAATCCGTTTCTTATCTTAGTGAGAGAAGTGCTTATTGTAATAACCTTCAACTACTTTAGTCACGATAATAGATTTAAATAATTAAACATTAACTAGCACGACTTAAGCAGAAATGTAATTATTTTAGAAGGGTGGCAAGTGATAGTTGATTGATGGAGCCGATTATAAATAAATATTTTGGCGCCATTTTGATTAATCTCATAATGATGCCCAAATAGAGCCCATAATATAAGAAAGGAAGGAGATGGTCAGGTGTGGAGGTCATAAATAGGCTAAATAGTGGTAAAACTATTTTATTAAAAGCCGACGTTTCGACCCGACTTTGCAGGTCTTCTTCAGGGAGGTGTGTTCCGCTAAGATGTTTCACTTAAAACTGAAGTCGGGTCGAAACGTTGGCTTTTAATAAAATGGTTTTGTCACTATTTAGCCTATTTATGACCGCCACCCCGGACCCTCTGCTTCCTTTATAATGCAACGGTCAACTATTAAATATTCAATAATACAAGAAAGGTTCTTGAAACCTCCTGGAAATTTTAAAATGAGCTTGACTGGAAAATAGCTGCGATGCCGACGAATTCCAGTAAGTGAAAGACAGAAAATTGATTTCATTAATTGAAAAATTGAATACGAGACGAAAAAAGAACTCTAGTTCTTTTCAAACCAATGAATTTTCGAAATCGTAAGCTCAGAAACGAAATGATCTACACATCAGGAGGTTACCTAGAACTTATCAACTATTCGTGAATCAAACCATTTCCATATCAAGTTAAAAACGATAGTTTCATAGCCCACTCCAAAATGGGAGGGATGTACTCCGTTAGAGCAGCCCCTACAGTGGGAGACAAAAAAGTGAATAAACCAAATTATTTTAAAGTATCGTTCGGAAACTAACTTTGTTAATAATGATCAAATCATGACAGGAACAAAGTTATGGGTGTGCTAGAATAAATTCGATTGCTTTTACTTAACTAATACATGTTTTTCAAAGTAACTAGAAAGTTATAAGTTAGAAGTAATGGTTGTAATAGATTTTTTGGCAGAAATAAGATCAAAAAATTACATAGAGCATCAGATCTTATTCCTAGAAAACAAAAAAAATTGTGACCGAAAATATAATACTCTTAGAACAAAATTACGCAGTTTTTTTCGTCTACTTAAAACTTGTAGTGTTTGTTTTTAATAGCTTTACAGGCAGTGTGGCTATCGAAAAAACTATGTATGTAATAATAAAGGATCGGTTTGCAAAATGTGCATTTATTAATAAATAGCTAAATCGTTCAGAAGAGGTTCATATTATATCAGAAGAAATGGTCAGAGCTGGAATAATTCATTTTTTCAAAAATAAAAGTTTTTGAATATTTAAAGGAGAAATCCAAGAGGTTAGAAGCGGAGCTGCATCGAGAAGTTTGGGCACGTCCCGCCGTTTTGTGAGATCACCGTTGAATGTCTCACCAGGACGAGGAAACAATAACAGCTGAGGATACACGTGAGGAGGGTGGCGAAGGAGGCCGCTCCTGAGGAATTGCTGAAGATATCTCCTGCTAGCCAAAGGAAAGAAAAGAAGAAAAGAGTCCTCTATGAGGAAGGCTCCGCTGGAGACAATGGCAATAGCTCTCATGTCACGTCACCTTCAGACTTGATAATGTCGACGCTTGCGCAATCTCATTTCATATCATTATCTTCAATTATATTTGATTATTCCGAAGACTATGATAGAAATCGGATTCAGTTGACGGCTATATGGAGCTTTCTGTTGACAGAATGATTAACTCCGATCTATTTCAGTTAAGTGCTTTGAAAAATGTCTTTAAAAACTGCAAAAGAACTTTTAATGCTCAATTTTACGGCACATTCAGTGCTTAATTCAGGATTAAATTTCGGGGGAAGGTTTCGGGCCAGATCCATTTTCAAGACGATAAAAGCATATCTATAACATTTATATATATTTATCAGTATATATACAATAAAAGAAAATTTTTAACAATAACTATTAATGAATTACAAATGATCCTTAACATAATTGTGCAACCGTAAATAAAATATTGTTTATAATTTTTGTTTTAAATATATTTAACTTTAAAAACAATAAAAAAAGAAGAAAAATAAGAAAAAAGAAAAATAAGTACTGGCCAAAAGACATTATATATTATTAAACATTGTTTTGTATTATTATTTAATTAATTATCTTAAGATCGTTCAAAAATGTTTAAAATTTATTCAAATGCCTAAAAAATGTTCGTCTTTTTCTTTCTAAAAGAAAAGAATTTTGAATGGTCAACATGTCAAGATGGAATGCACTTTTAGTTACTTGAGAATTAATTGTTTAATTAATTATTTTTTCTATCTTTAATAGTATTTTCTAAATACTACGAGTTTTCTTTGCTTTATAATAAAAGTTTTAATTTTTATACAACATTTCTCAAATACCTTTATTTGTCTTTCTTTATCTTTGCCATATATTCGGTAGCCAGTTCTCTTGGATTTCTCCTTTAAATATTGAGTTACTTTTATTTTTGAAAAAGGTCTGACCATTTCTTCTAATATAATATGAACCTCTTTCAACGATTTAGATTTTTGTTAATAAATTCCCATTTTGCAAACCGATATTGATTACTAAATACATCGTATTTCGACAGCCACACTCCCTGTAAAGCCTTTAAGAAGAAACAATAAACATTTTCAGGAGACGAAAAAAAAGCTTAATTTTTGTTTTATGAGCATTACATTTTTGGTTTTCTTTTCTTTTTTTTTTTTGCAGACCTAAGATAAAGATGTAATGCCCTGTATTACTTTTTATATCGTATTTCTGTCAAATAATCTTTTACTGCCATTACTTCTAATTTTTTAGATACTTTGAAAAGCAGATATGAGCTAAAAGCAATCTAATTTGTTATACTAACACCCATAATATGTTATTTGTTCATCAAATCCAATGATTGAGGCTTCAATTCGAAATTTTTCTTCTTCAGCTGAAAAAATTAGTCACATACCAGAAATTGCAGGAAAAAAATTTATAAAGGAAAAGAAACTTTGCGAATAACTCAAAAAGTATTCCTTTTTTTTTTAGATTATACTAATGAATATTTGAAAGATTACTTAATTCCATGTAAAAAAAATTTTGAAATCGGACTATTATTAGCAAGAATTACTATAGCATATTATAATTTGTAAACTTATTGTTTTGAAATATGAACAATGTTTTCAAATAATTTTCTTTTCCTTGGTCGATTAAAGAATTTGTACCTCCATCTTATGACACATTGCATTGTTTTATTGTATTGTCATATTGTTCACTGACCACTACGTTATACGTATTATTCGCATGGGCCGAGTTTAATGTATTTTAAAGACATTGACTGAGTACGAAGGAGATCAGTTAATCTTTTCCTATAAATATTTGTTTTTCTCCTTGGTTCATAATGAATTAAAGTTTTGTTTACCAAAGAGGTTATATCTGTATTGAGATGGCATATACCGCCGATTGCAATACAACCTCGATGCAGGCTCGTTCTATGCTAATGCTAAGAGATACTTAGCTTTGCAGAGCGGGCCCGCTGCGCGGACAACATACAGAGCGGATTGGCCATCAACATTCCTTCCACGGGCGGCCTTCTCTTCGGCCTTGGTATTTCTGCAGCAGGAACTGTCCTACCTCTTTGTTCTAGCTCTAGCAACTAGAGCAGTCCTTGGGGGGGACATGTTGGATATTGTAGGACTGTGTTGCTTCTTAAATAGTGAATATCAGTCAACAACTGGGGCAGCATACTTTTAACGATTTTTAAAATATTATTATTGAAATTCACAACTGTATTAAATGATAAATATGACAAGTAACGTGACATGTATAACATGAAGAAAAAGTACCCATTGGTAGCACTCCAATTGTATTTCTATACTAGAAGGCCCCGAAGCCTTCTTTTCAGACGCCTCGGAAGATTATTAGTAATAGAAAACGAAGAAAGGTTGGAAACAAGAGGGTTCAGATGGTTCAGAAGTTTATTATGAAAGAATAGGTATCTGGATTGAGCTAAATAGGAAACATATTAAGATCGTTATAGATGATTTTATTTGTGACATAGTAGGGAGCATTGACGATTTTACGAAGGATTTTGGATTGTAAGGATTGGATGCGAGGGAATTTGATGGTTTAGTAGAGCCCCAAAGCTCCCGTAAGTCCAAATAGGCCTTATTATAGTTATATATATATATATAGTATATATATATATAGAGTCTTTTTTAAATAGTTGCAAGTTTAGAGCCTTTGTCTAATAAGTGCTGCAGTAGTCAAAAACTTCTAGCGGTTTCTAGTCGTTTCAGTCTGGTATGAGAGTTCTAAGTGAGTCGTTTGTCCAGGTCCTAGGTATCGGATTTGTTCAACAGGGATAAGTGGGTTATTGTTAAAGGATACAGTAGGACAGGAAGTCATAGGTTTATCGGAATCAATTTTAATCCTCCAGTTTTGAAACCATTTTTAAAGACTTGTGAAGTGTGATTGAAGAGTTTGGGATGAAATAGATGGATCGTTATTAACTGATAGGATACATGTGTCATCGGCATAGGTGGTGATGACAGTGTTGGAATAGGTTGGGACGTCAGCTGTATAAACTGTGTAAAGGATACTACCTTGAGGAACACAAGCGAACTGAA